TACATCGCGCTGCGCAGGCATCTCCAGAATGATGGCACTGTTGGTTGACTGTTCCCTCCCCCCATGAAAGTTGATTAGCCCCTGCGTCCTATAACTGTTGCTTGCCTTTCGTTTACGCCTTTTATATCTGACGATGGACTCTAGAAAGAGCCCGAAAGCTCAGACAAGTAAAACTATAATTCCGGTGATCGCAACGCCTTTTACTTCTCTATCGAAATTTCTATCAAGTGCAAATCTTTTTTTAACATGTGGGTATACCTTAACCCAGATGGCGAAGAACCTGGATTACAAACCACGTCAGTATCACACATTTATCATTTCAAATATTGTGTTTTCCTCTAAAGTCCTCTGATTCGTTAATATGCCTCCAATCACAGGATGTAAGCCTCAAGTCCAATCATTGCGATTCCGTGCAGAGTAACCTGGGCTAGTTTTTGCAAATTACATTTAACCTCATGCTTCTTAAAGTTTGTATGCTCGGCTGGCCTGCAATAGTTTTAGTCGTCAAATATGAAATTATTAGAAAAAAACAAAGTTTGTTAACTTATAAATAAATTGAGTAACTTTATTCATCAAAGTAGGTACCCATATTGCCAGTACAGCCATTTGAATGGTACCTTGTTTAGTCCGGTGGTGTACAAGCCTGAAATCTATGAGGGCCTGTTTGACAGCATTATCGAAATTAAATTGTCCTCATGTGTAAGAACTATCCAAATTCCAGAAGAATTAGTCAGTAATTTTAAATGCAATAAAAGAACATAATAAAACTGTTTTGTACTTCATACTGTGCCAATGTTGCATTTTTAATAACCACTTTTCTGTTAATAGCATAAGCATAGAATAATCTACGGGAGATGAAGTCAGACTATTGGCTGCTAATTATTATTTTGGCTACTGTAGCCCATCAGGGTCCAAAATTGCCCACTGAACGCAGTTAACACGCGGAAATGAGCTGTACCCTCCCTCGAGGCGTATTCCCGAAGGAGCCAAAACGTAAACACCAGGCCTCTATATGCTTGAAGAAGGTATATTACCAAAAATTCAGACAATAAATTAGCTCCAAAGTTCAGGAAGACCAATTAGTAAGCGATTCGCATTTGACTCACATAAGTTCCATTGAGTTATAAGGGTTCATAGTTGGGCAATGAACAAAAACGCTCCTGCTAAAAGGAGAAAATTCAAATATATCAAGTTGTCATTCACGGACATGACATAGCCATTTATTTCACAAATTGGAGATTCGCTAAGGTGATACGACAGATTAAACTGACCCGAAAGCATGCGCCTGGAACAAGGACACTACTTCCATTCATGTAAATAATCCCTTCTCCTAAATAGTTTGGTTTGTATGGCTGTCGGTCTAGGAGACTGCATCATGCGGAAGTCAATGTCTTTTTTCTACCTGGTACATTCTGGGAGGGCTGTAAATCATTTTCACGTAACGAAAAATGTTGGGATTATGCTACGGGGTAAGTAACTAACTATGGTAATATTTTCTTGTCGAAAGAAACTATTTTAGAATTTCGCTTAACGTTTCACGAAATAGCACCTTTCCTGTATATTGTCCGATAATAATTGCTTTTCAACCGACCTTTAAGTTCATAAAGTCTTGGCCTAGTTGTAAAATGTTATAAAATGACGTCCGAAACGTCAGCGAACAAATAAACTCACTCCGGTGAGCACAACATGATCTACTACTGAATACCATCTCACTGAAATGTTTGTTTACAGTAATGCCTTTCTTACACCATTTCGGTAGTGGTGTTTAGTCTACTGTCCGCATTAGCAAAACTTCACGACGCTAATTTACTACCACTACCCGAGACAGGGCATGCTAACGCGTAACGTCATCAGACGCCTTGCGTGCCGTGCTTACCAAATCTCATGCCGATTATTGATTACAAATTTGACCTTGCACGTGCCTGCATATTCGGGGGACCGGCGGACATATGGTATGGGTCAGCGGCACTCTTTTGGTATAGTTGATAGCAAGCGATGCCAAACTGATCGTGATTTTGCGCAGTACTCTCTGGAGCGAGAGACTATATCCTTCAGACATTCTGACAGGACTTTCATCTCAGCATCTTCCAACAACAATTCTGAGACCTGTATCTCTACTGTTGACGAAGAAGCTTTCGCAGAGCGGAGAAAGCGATTCAAAGGGATTTCCGAACTTTTTGCTGCGGTTTTAAGACCCCCTACAAATATTGAGAAGCAGACAACTGCCGGCAATTTTAGAAATCATGCAAGATCAGATAAAAGTGAATTTTCAGAATTTCGCCCCCACTTTGGAAACGTGACTGATATGTGTAAATTGTGCAGTGTTAACCCTAAATTGTTAGAAATGTTTATGGAGGAAATTAATGCAATTAAGGATTTTTCAGCTGGCGACTTTCCTAGTGCTAGAGATTGCGATTTTTCTCTTTGGGACAAAAGTGGCATCATTGAGCTGCTGCTAGAAGAGGCGAAACGTGAATGTATCGAGACAAAATCATTGTGTCTCAGCACGACTTCATTAGAAAGTAATGGGTCGGAGTACATGTTGTCAAATCTTGTTGAATCGGAAGATACTTTTGGACGGGTTGTGAAGAAATTAAAGGAACTGGGTCTCAAAATTCAAGATTCTGTAGAAAAAGTTGAAGTTGCAGTTCAGAAGAATGATAACAATGAATATGGTGAAGAGGATGATATTGACGACGATGTGGAAAATGATATAAAAGTTAATGATCGCCCAGGTGGGGAGAATTGCTCTAAAGATATACTCGATGAAAATGAATCCTCACTGAAAGAGGAAATTGAAGACGACGAAAGTGTCGACTCCGGAATTCACGGAATGTCATCCTGGGATCAGGACGCAAACATACTACCTGAAATTCCCGGTCCGCGCAAGCAATGTCAGCTAAACAATCACACAGTCAGTGCTGCTATGGTGTGTAGGCCCTGTGAAACAGATGCACCGCCAAGTAACCAGCTCAACTCACAAGCCCAAATGCATTTTGTACGTGCAGCGAAAATGCAGCAACAGGAAATCAGGTGAGTAATACACCAGATAGAGCTATTGCAATATCATAAACTTCGAAAATTCCCAAGACTTCTGGTTTATTTTTGAGATTTCTGTTTCGAATCGTATTTAACCTGTGTGTTATTATCTCTCAAACTTTTATATTTGCTGTCATTTTGGTGTTGACTTAAGTAATAACAGGTTAGCTATTTTATCTTCATTTAATGTTCGTTGGCAAAACATAAGTGTGGTGCAGTTAGGCTGACAATATTTATGTCTATTGTCTCTCAGTACCTTTTTGAAATAACACTGCTCGCTACGAACAAAAGACACAATCAGAAGGTCCGAGGTTCTTGCTTATCGTGACCGTTTTCACGCTGTGACTGTAATTCATGAGAAGACCTAACTACTTCCTATTCATCGCGAATGCATCAAGAAGTCAGGGTGTAAATTTCTCACTTCTTCAAAGTTCATGCAAGGGTTGGCTTTAACAATGGTTTCCTGCTATCTAAATTATTTGCGTCACCCAGATGTCGGGTGGAAATATCATGTGAATGGGTCAAGCTGCACTTTTGTTTGGAGCTCCCAGTGCGAAGTAAAATTATATTTTCGCACGATCTTTAAGGTTCTCCGCAACGTTTATATTTCTCATTGATGCGCCCAAAAATTAACTCGAGAGTGAAGGGGTTACACCTTTAATTATTTCTTTGTAAACTTAATCTGCAAGTCTTGTTCTAGAACAGTAAAAATTTCGATATTCGTCCAAATCCCATCAATGGTCATCTGTGTGGCCCGCATGGTATAAACGTCTATAAAATGCCTACTAACGTCAGTTGAATAGGTTTAATTTAACCCTTTTGATTTCATTTATTTCTCGCCACATCTTCAAGCGTTATTGTTAGGGTTAACATACGGCTTAGGACCAGAGGTTTGGGATTAGATGTTAGGGCTAGGTTTAGACCTAGGGTGAAGATAAATGAGCCGGCATTGACAACATATTCTTCATATTCTTCCTTGCTTTAACTAGTATTCACGGCTGGCATCTTTTCGCCTACAATATCTTACTAATGCCCTCTGTTTTCATTTTGCAGTCCGTTTACATCTCCTAATTTCCAGTATTTCTAATCACATGCTCACCTTTTCCACCTTATAGGAGTATTTAAGGAATTTAATAACTCTTGTCTACTATGTTTACTTCTGTTTCCCGAAAATGGGTGTCTGGCAGTTTCGTTGGCCTCACTCATACAACCTTTTACATCATTCCTCTATTACAGGAGACTTCCCACCCACTTTCTCAGTAGGTCCATATAACTGACTGTCACAAACTGTTGATTTTAACGACCTACTTTCTACTTCCGCATCACAGTGGCTGTCAGAGGAAATGTTTCAATCAACCAGATATTTTATTCGTACGGGCTGGGATCCCACAATATGGGAGTGTCATGGAGGCGACATTTAGGAATCACTGAAGCCTGACTCTCGCTCTGTTGGGCAGTCCCTCCACAAGAACACGCACTGGGCAGACTGCGCTATCCGAGGTATCCCGTTATTTGACAAGATACCAAGTTAAACTTTTAGTACAACGTTATATATGCATGCGCGTCAGATTGTTTATAGTTAGGAACATGCATTGAGCCGTCGAAGACACACCTCCCATTCTCATTCTCAGGCTCCAGTCACCATCCGAGCCGGCCAGTGGACTATTGCTGGAGATGCACAACGGATACTAATCAGGTTTCGCCTAACAGCCGCACTGGTCAGCAGGTGTGGTCGCTGTACTACACCCACCTCCCGTTGAGAAGTTGGTGCTAGGCGGTCAGAGTGGAATGTCAGCTCATCGGTAAATACTCCGTCCTGGAAACCCTAGTCTAGTCGAGTATCTTGTTCATCTGCATCCCGTCCACTTTGAGGTCCCTTGGCCAACATTAACCAAATGGCTTTTTGCGTAAGACAATGGACATTTTTTGAAATATTGTTGGTCTGCAGCCCAGTTGCTCAAGATCCTGGCAAAAAACGGCGCGTCAATTCGAGGGTGCATCATACCAACAGCGTGCGCTTCTAGTTTGTCAAATCAAACTTTGCTGCAGCCGTTGGGGATGGTGGAAACAATTATCTGGATAAAAATACCTATGGACTTTCAGGGACCCCTTTTCCTTGGGCAAAACTATAGTTTCAACGCGAAAGGGGGGGTATCGGCGAAAAAACGTGCGAACAGTTGTCGACAATTTTAT